AAACCCCCTCCGTTTTTTTTTTTTGGTTGCTTAGTATTAGCTTTTCCATTTTGTTTTCCTGCTCTAGTTTTACTTGGTCTAGAAAAGATTTGAAAGAAAGGAACTATCTGTAGAGAAAAAAAGAGATGGGAAAGGAAGAAAAGGCTTATAGTTGTTGATAATTTGTGCCTTTTCCTTGAAGTGGATGCACTTTGTAGATATGACTGATGATAACTTTGCAATACTTCATATCGTTGGAGAAATTCCTGTCATCCGCAAGCATTGATAGAAGCACATTATATTTTGTCGAAATAATACCTTCGTTAAACTCATAATAACTTGCTGATAGCAACTTGATAAGATTCTTGTATCTCCTTCAATAAAGTGTCTTAATTATGACTGCTGAATGCTGCTGCATGTCGGTGTAGAAAGTTTGTACGATGCATTTTCTCCCTCTTATTCCTGTCTTAATCGGAAATAAAGAGAGATCCGAAGTTTTTGGTGGAAGGAATGTGACCATTTGATTTCTACTATAGAAGCCAAAACCGATGCAAAAATCTTATTGCTGGAGTTTTGGTAATCTAAGTTGCTATCTTTTCTAAGAATAAGCTTTATGGACATCAAAATTAATCCTAGAGGAGGTTGGGCCTGGACCATTTTCTTGTTCTGGAGGATAGGCTTCCGTAAGGTGGAAAAAGCTGGCAGTTTCTCGTTATTTATAGAAAGTAAAATTCAAGATCTCCAATCATATTTTCAGAGATTGATCGTACTTCTCTGGAATAGGCAAACTATCAATTTTCTCCAATTTATTTTCTGAGTTTGATCTTATTTCAACAGCTTGTGGACTTCTTGATAAACTGCCACAATTGTATAATCAGTAGATAGACATATTCTGTTGCCTAACAACGCAACATAAATTTCATAGGTGGAGCTTGTAAGTGTATATTATATTAAAAATTCAATTCCTTGTTTCACATAGATGTAATGAGCTAAAAACAGTGCCAGTAAACTGATGTTAATTCGATTTATCATCTGTTTTCAGGCTTCTAACTCCTCCTGGTACCCCTCTTTTTCCTTCTTTGGAGGTGGAATCACAAAAGACCATTATGAGTCAGATTGGTACTCCAAAGGCCTGCCCGACTGCTCTGAAATCTAGAGTAAGAGCACTATTGTTCATACAGTTGCGTGTTACTAAAGTTGATTCATGCAATCCACTTTGTTAAAGGAAAAACAGGCACAGTGCATTGTTGTGATGGTTTTAGTTGAAAGAAAAGATTGTGTTTAGAAGCTTCTGAATTGCATAGAATTTATTGCTCCATATCCATTTTTATTATCAACAAGTCAAACTATGCAAGTTTATTATGAAACAATTGAAGCTTCTTGTATTCATTTATTTGACCAGTTTCCTTGACAAACAACAAACTTGCCTTGAATTCTTGGTTTCTGGATTTCACTAGACCGTGTTAGCTTAAACATCCAATTTTGGAAGAAAACAAAGAGTTTTGAACGTTGACCACTAAAGATAATTGTTAAAGAGTTTTGAAACCATAGCTATGCTTGGTGTTTCCTCTCATGTAGTAAAAGTTAATTCAAATTCATTTGTATCTGTGCTTGGTCTTCATTTTTATCTTCTTTTTAGAAACTTTTTGGTCTTATGATGCTTGAGTTCACAACTAATATGCTAAGTGAATTCTGTTCATTGTGGCCATAGCTAGCTAGCCCTCAGCCAGATCCTGTTCGAAGGGGCAACTTGGTATCCAAACAACCTGCTTCCTCCCCTTTGTTGAACTCTTCAGGTGCAGCAATGCGCAGGCCTTCATCATCTGGTGGTCCAGGATCTAGGCCTTCAACACCAACTGGACGCCCCACGCTGACTACAGGTTCTAAACCTTCAAGATCATCAACACCTACCTCTCGGGCCACTCTGTCCTCATCTAAGCCCACAGCTTCCGCAGCTAAACCAACTGTCTCTGCAGCTAAATCAACTACTTCTACAATGAAGTCCACAGTTCCTGCAAGATCCTCGACACCATCAAGGTCAACACGATCTTCAACACCGACTGCAAGGCCCTCTATACCCCCATCTAAGTCGACATCAAGGGCTGCAACCCCAACTCGACGGCCATCCACTCCATCTAGTTCACCAAGCCTATCTGCTCCTCCTGTAAAGTCATCATCTCTGGTTACCAAGTCAGCTTCTACAGTTACCAAGTCAGCTCCCACAGTTGCTAGAAATCCTGTCCCATCACGTGGCTCTTCACCAACAGTGAAATCTAGGCCATGGAAGCCCTCAGAGATGCCTGGTTTTTCACTTGATGCTCCTCCAAATTTAAGAACTACAGTACCTGAACGGCCACTTTCAGCTACTCGGGGTAGGCCTGGAGCACCCAGTGCTCGATCTTCCTCTGTTGAGCCTACTCCTACTGGACGTCCAAGACGACAATCATGCTCTCCATCAAGAGGACGTGGCCCCAATGGTGTTATGCACCCCAGTGGGAGTTCTGTTCCTGCATTTAGTCGTGGGCATTCTAAAATTAATGACAATGTTAGCCCTGTCGTTATTGGAACCAAAATGGTTGACAGAGTGATAAATATGCGAAAGCTGGCACCTCCCAAGCAAGATGACAAACATTCTCCTCGTATTCTGACTGGGAAGTCTTCATCTCCAGACAGCTCAGGCTTTGGAAGAACCCTCTCAAAGAAATCTTTGGATATGGCCATTAGACATATGGTATGTTTAGTCCATTTAGTCTATTTTTTATTTTGAACTGGAGACAAGAACCCTTGGTGGTAGAACATAAGTGTTTCCAAGTGGATAATTTCTAATCCTTTTACTGCATCAATATTTCACGAGATAGCTATCTTTCATTTCTTCTATATGTTGATTTGTTTCCATTTTTCATGAAGTCAAACAAAATTTGACATGGTTTCATTTCTTTTCTTATTTTATTCCACATCTCTCTCAGTTCCTTGAGATGACATTTATCCAAAGTGATAGAGAGATCAAGTCGAGCAACTAAGTGCTTTATTTATCCAGTTATTTGTTCTGATTTTGTTTTGTCTTTGCAGGACATAAGGCGCACCATTCCTGGTAATTTACGGCCTTTGATGACCAATATCCCAGCATCTTCGATGTACAGTGTGAGATCAGGTCCTACAAGAAGCAGAACTGTTAGTGTTTCAGACTCTCCGCTTGCCACGAGCAGTAATGCTAGTTCAGAAGTGAGTGTCAACAACAATGGTCTTTGTTTGGATGGGATTGAATTAGAAGATGATATTGGCAGTGGGAGAGGTGGGCGTTCTCCTCTACGAGGCAGGTGATGTTCAGAATTAAACATTTGAGTTATGAACTCCCATTCTAATCACCACGTGTATTCTTCTGGGTCCTCAACCAGCTTGACACTTAAAAGAGGAACCTATTTCCAGGGGACAAAAAAAAGAAAAGGAAAAAACTGACCAGAGCCTTCTTTCTATGTTTGATGTAAAGTTTGCTAGATTGGTTGGCAATCAAGTTTTATGTAATCCGTTGCCTTCGTATAATTAGGAAAATCAGTCATAAGTAGAAACAGTCTTTATTGCAAATTTTCTGCTGGTGGGGTATTCTGAATAAACCACCTCCCCCCGTCCACCCCTGCCTTGCATAATGTCAATATTTTTTGTCACTTATCTGGCATTCCAATATGAATAGAACGAACGAGGTTGTAAGAAATTGCAGATGCTTACTGGTTTTGGATTTCAGCACTCTTGTCTAGAAAAATGACTGCAGAATTTTTGGGTAAATGGGCTCACATTTACCAACCTGCTTTGTGACTAACGCCGAGGGGGATTTAATGCTGTATCATTATCCATGCTCGATGCCTTTCATTTGCGTTTGTTTGGCTACGGAAAAAACATTTAGGATGCTAGGTAAGCAATGCTGTCAAAAATAACATGGTGATAGAATGATGTTTTTTTTAGATTAATAGGAGTATCTGAATCAGTTTATATATATATTATGATTAATTTTACGAGATTTAAAATTAATAATTAAGTAAATTTTTAATAATTATTATATAAATAATTAAAAATTCGAATTTTGAGATTTTTTTTTAATTTTAAATTTTTATCACTTAGCTATTATCTAAATGATTAGAATAAAATGAAATTAATAGTGATAATAATAATAAAGTGATAATAGTAACGATGCTTGTAAAGATGGTGGTTATGTAGCGAGGAATGATGGTTATAATAATTGCTTTTTATCCATGAAGAGAGAAAAACTTTGTAAGACTGTACGTGTGTGGGTGTAGGTTACACAACAATATTTAATTAAGGTTATTTTGTGGGTTCAAGGTTGTGTATGTATAGCTTTGGATCCGTGTGTGTGTGACCATACAAAGACAAAGTGGTCTTTACGTTTAGCATCTATAATTTTGAACTCTTTCGGAACAAATGCCTACGAAAGTAGGCGTCCACTACGAAAGTAGGCGTTGTAGAATTCCTAGAAATGCAGGTGACCGCTGCGAAAGTTGGCGTTGTAGAATGCGAGCCGTTGAAGATGACTATTAGACCGATTCTTGAGATGACACCTGTACAAGCATGCTCACATTTAGATGCATGTATGTTTTGTTCCTTTGGTTGATGACAAATAGCATGTTTAGACAGAGAACAGTATGTTGCGTGTACCATCTTGTCCTGAGGTTTGGATGGTTCAACGGCATCTGATTTGAGCCTTCTGTCCGAGGATGTTAGCATTTGAAGATGGCATGCTTTGAACTCATTGGACCATCAAAACCTTCAGGGATCCAAACCGATAACATATGCTCCTGGGAGGCACTGGGCCTCCAGGGTACCCGGGATCAAACTTGGAGCTTGTGGTCGTGTGAGCCTAGACTGAGTTGCGGTTACTCGGATGAGCAAAATCTACTCTAGGGCCAGTTGCAGGCAGGCATAGACGTAACCAGAGAGTATCAACTCCCAGCCCAGTGGCGAGGCAAAGATTCGAACCTTGCAGATTAGATGATGTTACTAGTAACTCCATCCCTCCAACTAAACATTTTCAAGTAAAAAAAACCTACGATAAGTGCGAAGTAGGGGATTAAAACCGCCGAAGCAGGCAAAGAAAACACTTTCGAGCTGTGCAAAAGAAAAGGGGTCAAGCTTTGCAAGCAGCGTCATTTCCAACTCCAGCGCTTGGAAGCTGGACCACATGCAGTAATGTTCCTCATGTACCCATCCATAGCCATGAGATGTGAGTTAAGATTAATCCCCAAAGAAAAGAGTCCTCTGAAGGTATCATCTTTCTTTTCCAGATAAAGTCGTTCGGTAGCAAGACCACATAACTCAACTAAAACCCAAATAGGCGGACCACAAAAACAGCGCCGCCCAGCGGCCCAACACATCAGATTTTCCATGACTGCTTTAAAAGATTCATTAGCTTGCCGACATCCATATGATAAAAACAGGATTGCACCGCCCCCAAGAGCTTTTCAAGCTCAAACACACATCCACCGCGTAGGACAACAGATGAACTGGATCGTTGGAATCATGAAATCACCAAACTTCGTGCTCCTGGGCCATCCGGCTTTACAGTCTCCAACCGCAGAATAACAGCGTACTACTAGAAAAAGCAGTGGTGAAATTTTATAAGCAATGTATCAAATCATAAACCTGCTCAAATGCCCTAGTTGCGTGCACAATAAAGGCAAAATAAAATAAAATAGCAGTCTAGTATAACAGGGAACCGTATCTAAAAAGGTTAGCCAAGCCAACCACATTCTAATGAGCTCTTGCACCTCTTTCAATAAATGGAGAATGAAAGCAACAACAAAATTATCAAGCAACAGCTACAGGCTCAGGAGCAGTCACCACAGTATTAGCCTTGATGGAAGTAGTTACTCCTGTGGCATCACAGGTTTTAGCAGCATTAGCAGTGGATGCTGCTGCTGCTGGGGAATGCTTCAGGTGAGGAGGTGTATCATGCTTCAATTTCAATAGTATTTGCCGCATCCTTGAGAGTTCAGTCGGTTTCCCAGGCTTTGGGCCTTGGATCACAACAATAGCAGGCTTCTTGTCCTGATCTTTCTTCCCTTTCCTCCTCTCTATAGCTGGCACTTCATTAGGAATGAGCTCTGCAATTGACTTCCAATAATTCTTATCAGCCTCAGCATGGAATTTTTCTTGGTTGGCCAGAAATAACTAGAAAAAAGAAGATGCAAGTCAGAAAACAATATGATTCACTATTCCATTACTCTTCAGAAATCAGTACCACGACTTTCTATTTAAAATACTAACTTTACAGGTAGTGCAATATTTCCTAACAACAGCAAATTTCACCGCTCAATTTTCAGCCAAAGGAAATGGTGATTTAAGTTCATTAGTAAGTTCAGCACTGAGCAGCCAAAAGGAAATGGTGATTTAAGTTCATTAGTAAGTTCAGCACTGAGCAGCCAACCTAGCAATGGAAATAACATCCACTTATCTAATTTAATATATCAATTTCCAAAAGTTATGCGTGTAAAAGTGCAAGTTCTACCATACTAGTTTCAATCATCTTCCTTCCCAGTTTGCAGTACATCAGTGCCCTCCTAAATAAATAGGCATAGAGTATAATCTATAAAATCAAAAACAGGTAACCTACTTTCACTATGCAGCAAAAAACGAGCTTTCGAGGACAAGGATGGCAGCTTTGAAGATTCTGCAAAGGAAGTTGTGACCCAGAAAATGCCAAACAGAATCTTCAAAAGTGAAAAGGCTAGATAGACAACTTATATTTATATATACATATTTTTTTTGGGGGGAGAAAATATCAAATCTGATCACTCCGAAGATTATATTATGACCATGCTACATGGGTGTGCATAGTTCCTACACCGTGTTAGGTGCGTTCTGCTTATAAACATGACCTTTTCCTTTCAAGTTGCCAAGAATTGGTTGCACATGTAAAAATCAATTGCTTGACAATATTGAACTAACATGTATTCTTCTACATTTGGGACCTCAGTGAAAAGATTACATGACTAGTATGAAGCAATTGATAAATGACTATTGAGTAGCTAATAGAAAATTTTGGCATCGAAACAAGTAGCATCTACAGATGTGATAATAACTTGGACAACTTCAGTGATGATGGAGTGAAACTATATAGGCCCTACCTCCTTTACCATAGATGTTTTAAATTAATAATAATCCAGAATTCAAATATATAGTACTATGAATCTTGAGCGCAAGATCCTAATTTTCTTAGCCCTTCAGGAATCCAATCGAGTCACAACAAGCTATCCTTGAGTAGGAATCAATTGGTTTCTTATCCCATTCTAACTCACATTGTCGACCAGGAGAGCAGATGCAGTGTTACATGTTGCAACTCTCAGAGAATGACAACATCCAAATAATTCAAAACCTGAATGCATCCAATGCAACTACTCCAGACTTCTAATTCTTCCAATGATCATATTAGAGTCCTAGCCACATAGAAGTTACAGAAGCATGAAACAAACATGCCACGTTACACTTTTAGGCATATTGCACCGAAAAATGGTTTAACCAAGCTCTTTCTTGCACGTGCTATACCACATAACAACACCTCTATGGTGGATTTAGAACATTACATTCACGGGAATATAGAGCACACTCAAATGAAAGTTTAAATAACAATAAAAATAATATTTGCACCACTCCATGGTCCAAAAGTTAACAGAGCCAAGATGCAGACATTCTCAAACAAAGAACAAGGAAAAAAGCAACATCTGCTCAGAGAAAACCTGACCTTCTCTTTTTCCCTGTTAGTGGTTTTATTACTCTCACAAGTGAACTGCCTCTTCTTGTAAAATTCAACTTTGTAATCTTCAGCTTCCTTGATTATTTGGCTCAACACCTCCTTTTCCCTCCTCTCCTTGTCCTCCAATAGTATCGCATTTTGCCTTGGTCTCAAAAAACCAGCAACCATAATTAACTAAGACCATGTTTATTTAAGCAAAAACACACACACTTTCATCAGATTGAATCATACACGAACACAATCAAATATATAAACAGAATTACAGATTTCTTTAATCATTTCAAACATAATTCTTGATCAGTACAAATCAATGATGTTTCACTGATTGAAACAAGTATTAAATTCTTTTCAGCGATCAGAAATCCTAATTAATGAACACTCAAATTTCACTACACAGAACGAATTAAAACATATCTACAGTTTTTAATCGAATTACCTTTAGTTTTTCCTTTCTAATTTTCTCAGGAGTCACACTGAAATTATCAAATTAAATCATGAGAGCAGGTACCTTCTCCTTAAATCAAATTATCAAATTAAATCAAATTTTCTCAGGAGTCACACTGAAATTAAATCAAATTATCAAAGGCCAAAAAGATTAAATCAAATTAATTAGACGTACCTTCTCCATTCTATGAGAGGCCAAAAAGATAAAATCAAATTAATTAGACGTACCTTCTCCATTCTATCAGAGCAGGTCCCTGCTCAGCCTCCGTCTCCGACGGTGACAGCGAAATCTGACCCTCCGATCCACCAAACTCTCCCTTCCCTTGAGGTGAGAACTGGCCGTGGATCGGTGGCTGCGACTCGAAAACATCGTCGCCGGTGGCGAATGAATCATCGAAGGGCTGTGAATTGTAACCTGCGTAGGAATCGTCGTCGTCAAACGGACGAGTTGACTCACTTTGTGCGAACGAGTCGGAAAATGTGGACATTGTTTTTTGCGTTTGTCTTTCCCTCTCCCTCTCCCTCTCCCTCAGGCAGTTAAAAATGAGAGGTGGTTTGTGCGTGATCGTATTCGGCGCGGATAAATAAATTGGCGGGCTTCAGCTTTGGTGTGTGCATGGGCCTAATAATCAGGCTCCTTATTATGGGCCTTTTGTTGTGTTTTTCTCTTTCCTATTTTTTTACGGGTTTTATTAACTTAAACCCATTCGACAGCGTAGAGGAGGGACGTCATGTTTATGATTCTTTTCTGTTATTTTTGTTGATTTAAAAATTAATGTTTGTTTCTTTTATAAAAAGAGAGAGGGAGAGGGAGTTTATACACTAGGATTAATTTTACAAACAGTGTTAAAAAAAATATAAAATTGCACAGCACTTTACCATTAGCTGAAGCTTGAAATCAAAATATTAATTTATTATAGTTTTCCATTACACGACTAAAAATCATTTGGTAATTCACTTTAAAAGAAATAAATATATAAAAATGAGGCATAAATCATCCAAAACACAAAATACACATCAAAAATTAAATTAAAAATCACATGGTATTGTAAACTAATTAGTTTCTCATTGGACACATACGTTTCCACTTCCATTTGCTGTGAATATGTCGAAGAAGAAAAGACTCCAGTTATCAAAGAGGTATGTCAGTAAAAGTAATGAGATAAAATGAGATAA